TATTCTGCGTCTGAGAGCTCAGTTATTAGCTAGTAGTATTTAATTTCTTATGATTAGAAAGACATGTTTCAATGATTATAGGCGGCTCGAAATAAAAATTTTACAAAATAGTTTTTGTACCTGAATATTAAGCTTCATTTGTGAGAAAGTAACTATTTACGGAATGCCCGCATATGCACAGGTAAACTGTAAAAAGAGCCCTGGAAAAACGTGTGTGAAGTAAAATTGAACTAATCTGTAACGTGGCAGTGGAATATGATATAACATCTATAGGAAATAACCAAAACAGTTACGAAATTAATTAAATACCTTTAACTACTTATTCTGGTTTTTCTGATGGTGGCAGAAAATGATTAAGAAGGGACGATAGGCTTTGAATGGACATGGCCTCTCTACTTAATAGGCTTAAGACATACACAGCGGTAGACCATTATCTCCTGCGTTTCATACAGAAGACTGGCGACACTGGCAGTACTGCTCCCAAGAGGACTGGGGTGGCAGATAGCATAACCCGGAAAACTCTGCCGAATAATATCGGCATCCCTCCGCATCACTAGCTAGTTTTCTAAGTGGGCACCCTATGACCTAGTTATGCGTTTTTCGAGGGGCACACGGTCTCCTTAAGAAGGTGATAGACATAGTGGCTCATCGTAAAGCACAACAGAAGTACTGTAGAGTGTCGAGAAGACGACCTCTTTGAATAATAATTATGTTTACGATTTATCAAACCGAATATGCATGATGACAACATGGGGCTACTAATCCTATATAAAGTTAAGATTCGTATTGGGACGATTACTAATTTGTATCATTTATGTAAACCGTAAACAATAAATGAATGTAAATTGAATCTGTTTTATCGAAGAAGAACTTCGGCGACCTTACCGGTTTTAGGCTAATTCCAATATCTATTGCAGTGGCCTTACGGTTTTTTGCTATTACTCTTTAGCCTGCTTGCTTAACTGAAAATTCTTATGATTAACTACTCGACACCGGAATCAAACCTATTTAAGCTCACTGAAAAAAATCTCTAGGTCTAGTGCTGGTCTAATCTAGTTTATAGTGACGCACAATATCGGTAATAAGCTCGAACCCGTTTATTTGTGGTCACTGCCAGTCGTTATAGTTTAACCTAACCCGACAGATTTAAAATTTTGTTGCTCTTCCTGAATTTCTTGTAGCCTACACTAATCCGCCTATTAAGCTCTGTAGGCCGTAGATAGCTAATATTATCGTGAGTTGATCAAAAGCCAAAATGTACAACCTTACTGCATATACTTCGTTTTTGAGCAAAAAGGCAAAAACATTAAAACTTTCGACAAGCTTTATCCCCCCCCTCCTCCCTTTAGAATGCTAAAAAGGACTTAAACTAATTACTAATAGTATCTGTGACTAAATTTTCGTGAATTAATACTTATCCCCCCCCCCTGAATGAATGAATACATTTTATTCTGCGTCTGAGAGCTCAGTTATTAGCTAGTAGTATTTAATTTCTTATGATTAGAAAGACATGTTTCAATGATTATAGGCGGCTCGAAATAAAAATTTTACAAAATAGTTTTTGTACCTGAATATTAAGCTTCATTTGTGAGAAAGTAACTATTTACGGAATGCCCGCATATGCACAGGTAAACTGTAAAAAGAGCCCTGGAAAAACGTGTGTGAAGTAAAATTGAACTAATCTGTAACGTGGCAGTGGAATATGATATAACATCTATAGGAAATAACCAAAACAGTTACGAAATTAATTAAATACCTTTAACTACTTATTCTGGTTTTTCTGATGGTGGCAGAAAATGATTAAGAAGGGACGATAGGCTTTGAATGGACATGGCCTCTCTACTTAATAGGCTTAAGACATACACAGCGGTAGACCATTATCTCCTGCGTTTCATACAGAAGACTGGCGACACTGGCAGTACTGCTCCCAAGAGGACTGGGGTGGCAGATAGCATAACCCGGAAAACTCTGCCGAATAATATCGGCATCCCTCCGCATCACTAGCTAGTTTTCTAAGTGGGCACCCTATGACCTAGTTATGCGTTTTTCGAGGGGCACACGGTCTCCTTAAGAAGGTGATAGACATAGTGGCTCATCGTAAAGCACAACAGAAGTACTGTAGAGTGTCGAGAAGACGACCTCTTTGAATAATAATTATGTTTACGATTTATCAAACCGAATATGCATGATGACAACATGGGGCTACTAATCCTATATAAAGTTAAGATTCGTATTGGGACGATTACTAATTTGTATCATTTATGTAAACCGTAAACAATAAATGAATGTAAATTGAATCTGTTTTATCGAAGAAGAACTTCGGCGACCTTACCGGTTTTAGGCTAATTCCAATATCTATTGCAGTGGCCTTACGGTTTTTTGCTATTACTCTTTAGCCTGCTTGCTTAACTGAAAATTCTTATGATTAACTACTCGACACCGGAATCAAACCTATTTAAGCTCACTGAAAAAAATCTCTAGGTCTAGTGCTGGTCTAATCTAGTTTATAGTGACGCACAATATCGGTA